TTTAACGATCAAAAAACGCGTTAAATGTTTCATCTGAAACGTGTTTTAGAACGTTTGAAAACGCGTCTTTTGTACGTTTTTAACGCAAAAGTAACGCGTTCTCTAACGCGTTGCGAAATTCCGAAAATGATGTTCTTAAATTAATTAAAACTTCTGGATTTTTACTCTTAGACAATGATGAGTTTTACAGATGCCGCGAAAATGGCTTATAGGTAAGTTAAGAAAAGAACTGATAATTATCAACATTTATGGACAATTACACGTTTTGCAAAAAATTATTCATTTGATTAAGTTTAGATACAAGGTCTATGTGTCACTGTAAGCAAGATAGAGAAACATATAACTCATACACAAATAATTCGAATTTTTATTTTAAGATAAACAAAAATGATGATACATTGTTAGTAGAAGATAGTACGAATCTGGCAAAAGTACACAGTTGTACAAGAAGCCAAATGTATAGACATTAATTGAAGAAGGTATGGACCTACATTAGCTTGGCTTTTATGCGTTGGAACTACTTTTACACAGTAGTCTGCACTATCATGTAGCTACTTCATTTAGATCATTATATAATGATTGTTAGTAAATTACTATCGACTGGCGATGCATTTGCGACCACAAGTCCTGTTATATTGGATGGATATAAAATTTAATGTATTGATGATGTATCCTAAACAGAAATTATTTGGCCATATCAAGTGATTGACATTCAACAGGTCGAACATCATCTTACAAAAAACTGATGTAAAATTTTTTTAATAAATAAATAATCGATTTGATTTTGTATAATTTTTGACAAGGAATTTATCATCATCGCTTAGGGATAAAAATGCAGTATCTGCAATTACGTTAGATATCGATAATGAAAATTATCATAACTACTAGATAAAACAGTTCACAGTTTCAGAGAACTAGAAAAATCCAAAAGACACTTGTTTTATTATTCACAGATTTCTGCTATAAATGCTATCATTTATCTATCATTTGAAACTCATTTGGCTTTGGCTATATGAATAGACTTTTTTAAATCAATTAACGTATATACCTAGCACAATTAAGACGTTTGATAGCATTTTGATTTTGTCTATCTACAGATAAAAATTTGTACAAAATATAGCTGCATGATAAAAGTAGCTGCTTTACTTGTCCGAATTCGTGCAATCCCACAAAATATTTTTTGTATTTCATTCTCGGTATTTAAATGATCACAATCATCATAAATAATATGAGTCTAAAAGAATAAAAAATAAAGTTCATCTAAAATAAATATTATACTTTTTATCTGTTTATTAACATTACATACTCGATGAATAATTTGTGCTAAACAATAACCAATAACAAGATCTATACCATCAAATAAGCCTAGAAGATGGCTAAATAGCATTTTAGATGTTTGTCGATAGTGTACTTTCTATTCAACTAATTTACTTTTGTTTCTGATCAGACACAATTAAATTGTGTTGTTATGCCAAGTTCACTACCAGTATATTTCAAATATATTGATAGACTATCAATATATTTTTCGAATATTTTCTCCATTATTTCGCTCATGTATAGTTGATATACAATCAATCACATAAATATTACCACCTAAAAATTGCTGACAAATTTGTTCACATTTATTAAGAGTCGTCTAAATACAAACAAATACAGATTAATTTATAATAAGAATATATTTTTTCGACAAAGGAAACTTACTTACTTTTTAATACAGATATTTGTAGATCATGAAATTTATCATGTATCGCTTGATCTATGTCACTCTGCGGAAAGTAACCCATGTCACATTTCCGACATATTATACATTTCAAACTTTTTTGTCGAGCATCCTAAAATAAAATGAGTTACATGCACAAGAAAAAATGATATTGTCGGACGTGTGCACATTTACAATTACAGTTTGTCTAAAACTACCATCATCATTATAAATTTTCCGTGATATCTGAAAAGTATAATAGTTACAGAAGGATCGAAATGTGTTTTATTTCATCTCAATCTTACTTTCTGAAGATGTTGTTTAGTCGTTGATATTGTCTATCACTGTATCCAATGCGCGAAGTACGCTATAAATTAATACAAATTAATTTATTTGTTCAATATAATATAAAATAATTTTCTTTGAACATGTTTACATTAATTTTGTTCTTGAAAATTTATTCACACCATTCTAAGATGTCGATATTCGTCTAAACTAATTTATTTCAAATAAATATAAACTAATTTGTCTTTTGAAATAAATTCAAAGTGATTTCGAATGTCAAAATCAGTTCAGATTTTAATATAAAAAATATTATTCAAATACATTTAAGAAGTCAAAACTGATTTACACCAATTTGAAAAAATAAATTAATTTCCAATAGTTTCAAATACACTAGTTTAAAGTAATTTAATGGAAGAAATCAAATTAAAGCGAAATTAGCTACGAAATTAGTTTAAATTCATTTGAAATAGATTAATTTGAACGAATTGCATTTTGAACTAGTTGCGATTCATTTTCTACAAACGAATTGGAAACAATTTAACAACTGAAATCAATTTAAATTAATTTTGATTATCGAAGCAATGTAAACTGATTTATTTTATATGAATTTGAATTAATTCGACCTCTCAAATTCTTGTAAATTAAGTTTCAAACATTTTTTTCGGTTAGAAATGACTCTAAATTAATTAGGAATTATTCAAAAGGTCCAATGGACTCATCCCAGAAGCCTGGCTTTCCAAACTGACTTGATCAATGGAAAATACAACTGAGAAGAATAATCAAAACCGAAATCAGTCTTCTGTTAGCGAAAATTTCGCCTTTGTTCATTCGAACTATTGGTAATAACTGCGATTATTATGATGGTAGATGATATTGGCGTGTTGACAATTTGTCCACGCTCTATCGTGACTGTTTTCATTCACAGGTATGTAGACCGTTAATTCAATGAACGATTATTTTCAACATTCTATCACGTCAAATATTGTGAAAGGACTTAATTATTCGTACAATGTTTTGTAGCGGAACTCCGTGTCTTCCGATCGGATTGTTTTGCCGTTCAATCATCTTCAAGGGTACTTCATAAATAAGTCACATCTTGGTTACTGCAGAGTTGGTGAGTTACATCTGTAACTTTATTTTTATTTGTATCAATGAAAGTTTTATTTACAAGATGGTTTTAAATTAAAACGGTGTTATGATGAACTGTTTAAAATAAATCCGTTCACGCTTGAACTACTTGATTCATATGATCCTAGACAAATAGTGAAACGTATTAAAGAAGCTGAGAATGAGAGAGATAGAGACACGATTCGGCTCCTCGTCCAAAACCGTTATTGGCTATGGCATTATCGAAAGTTTCATCCAGGCGAAAAAAAATCGTTAGAAACGGCACGAAAAACGAGTTTTTCCCGAACGCGTTAGCGAACGATCGTTAAAAGAGCCGTTTAAACGCGTTTTTTATAGTTCAAAAGTTTAGAATAACGCGTTCTTTGACAACGCGTTTGCTAACGATCGTTAAATTAACCGTTTTCTAGCGTTTTTGTTGAACGCGTTTTCTAACGACGTTAAAATGATCGTTGAAACACGTTTATTTTATATAAAAATACAATTTAACGTGTCGTTTCGAAACGCGTTTACAAAAAGAAAAAAATTTGAAGTTACATCGTTTTAACGTCGTTAGACAACGCGTTATTTTCTAAAGTTTTGAACGACAAAAAACTCGTTTAAACCACTCTTTTGATGATCGTTCAAAAAGCGTTGGTCTTGAAACATTTAAAAAGGTCTTTAAAAAGGAAAAAAGAACGCGTTCTTTTATCAACTTTTTACCCCTAGGCATTCACCGTCTTGTTTTGCGGTCAGTCAAGTATATAAGCACAATCGAAATATCGCAGAAACATCATCTTCTTTTCGTTCTTTTTCAGTTTAAGATCATCAGTTTTGTACTTCCTTTATTATAGACTTTCAACTACTTTTAGATCAATTCCTCCAAGTTTCACCTTTGGCTTTACCAAAAATTAAAAAAAACTTTACCACATCTCTAGTCGTGTACTGAGCACGACCCTAGTGAATGTACTTGGTTGGCAACGTTATTGTCACACTTTTAGCACGACATTGTCAGGAGAATAAATTCGCTTTCTACGCAGCATTCAATAAGCTGAGAATGAAAAATAAGATTCGAGTAAGAATTAAATATTAAAATTCCACAATTTGCAGTTGCTGATTTAGTGATTAATTATTATCCATGTGTTTTGTAATGGGCTTTCGACGGTCTTAGTTCTGCTCTAGAGAAAAAATTAAGTAATTGTTATAAGAAATAGTGGTGTAGTCAAAGAAGATCTTCATCCAACTCCGGAAACGCCTAGAATAGGATTGTAGGTCGAAAAAAAATTTTTCCTTGGACAATTTCTGACTACGCTATAGATAAGAAAACTCGATAAAATTTTCTTTAAATTTATTAAACATGTGTCATCATTTGTCATAGTAGCAGTAAAATAAAAGTCGTTATTTAAACTATCGTACGTAATTGAATGAATTTGTCTAATGATCATATCAGGTGTACGCAAATCAAATGTGTATAATTGATCATAAAAATTAGAATATACAATGACTTCTTCTTGTGATGACTTTTTTCTTATATAAATCGTTAAATTTGTTGTTGGTATCATTTCAATTAAATCATTTGGCATATTATTATAAATGAAATTATCTAATCGATCTCCAAATCGTGTATAAAATTGTATTTGTCGTTCTTTGACATTTGTTACACGAAAGATCTTCACGACCAACTTCTCATACTGCACTCAGAATCCAATGATAGAAAATCGGCACTAACTGTTTATTGTGGACAAGCCATGGTATTTGCACAGGTACTTGGGCAAGTGCTTGACAAATGAGTTAACAAGAAGATAAAGTAATTCAAGTACTTGCCTAGGTCGACGAAAACTGTCATTTAATTGTCCATCAAGAGCCAGTTAACTGTATGCCAAAAAATAGCCTGTTAATTGTGTAAAAATGGAATGAAAATTAGCATTTAACAGCCACTATATTGATCTTTTGTGACTTTGAAATAACGGTGAAAATAATGCCACACTATAGTCAATGTCCGTAAAAATGGCATTTTACGGACACCATTAAACGGCATTTTCGTCCATTAATTAGACCGCGTTAACTAATGCCAAATAAATGTGCCTGTTACATGTCCGTTTTGAGGCAGTTAATTGTCCATTTTGAAATGGGAAAAAAATGATCATAAATTGGCATTTAACAGCCATTTTATGATCACCAAGTCATTCACCGTTTTATTCTGCCGTCATGACTAGTATAAATAACTGTGATTTTATATAATATATATTATAATTTAGAGTTTTTTTCTTCAATTATACGAGTCATAGAAACTTGCCTCGAAGAAGTGGTCTGTGGTCCTTGGGTCGGTGCCGATGACAGTACCACAGGTTTTAGAAAATTTTTTGACATTTTCTAAGGGTCTAAAAATTGATATCTAAATGGCAAAAATACGATCAGCAGGGTTAAATGCTTGTTATTTGACCGATTTTCGATAATTAAAAAAATGCGAAATAAAGACATTTAAACGTTCCCAGTTATAATGGCAAAAATGGCCTAAAAACTGAATCTAATGTCAAAAAAATTCCATTTAAATGCATATTAATACCGAATTAAATAGCATCTAATTGGCAATTAATAACACCGTTTTCGACGTCCTGGATTGGTTTACTTGCATAAAAACGAAAAACGTTGGGCACAACTTGCGAGGGTACTTGACCAAGTATCTGCATGCACGTACATTCATTAGGGTATGACAAATACAAAGAAATAAAAACGTAGAAGAAGAGGCAAAAAATGTCCTGAAACTTTTTAAATTGCACAATCTTACTCAGACCTCAATGCTCTTTCAAACAGAGTGGATCTCAATATACGCAATAAACTATCATGTACACGTCGTCGTGTAGTCGAAATCGCTGAATTTCAAAGAAAGTGATATGACTTTTCGATAGTGAATTTAACTGTCCTCGGGGTATTATTCCCAACATATCCGACAATCTCAGCAAATATAATTTTCAACATATAAGAGTCTTTCTACTTTTAATTATAATTCTACGAACAAACAATTAAATTAGTGCAAATCCGCTCCTTTATCTGACACTTGGTTCCCTTCAACATCAAGTTGAGTGAGAGTGTTGTTTACTTTCAGTGCGTCTGCTAGTGCTTCACCTCCTCTATCGGATGTTTGTTCCATTTAAGATCAAGTTGAGTGAGAGTGTTGTTTACTTTCAGTGCGTCTGCTAGTGCTTCACCACCTCTCTCGGATATTTGGTTCCAGCTAAGATTAAGTTGAGCGAGGGTGTTGTTTAGTTTCAGTGCTGTTGCTAGTACTTCACTTCCTCTATCGGATATTTGGTTTCTTTCAAGATCAAGTTGAGTGAGAGTGTTGTTTACTTTCAGTGCTTCTGCTAGTGCTTCACCTCCTCTATCGGATATTTGGTTCCAGCTAAGATCAAGTTTTGTGAGGGTGTTGTTTACTCTCAGTGCTTCCGCTACTGCTTCACCTCCTCTATCGGATATTTGGTTCCATTTAAGATCAAGTTCAGTGAGAGTGTTGTTTACTTTCAGCGCTTCTGCTAGTGCTGCACCTCCTCTCTCGGGTATTTGGTTGCTTCCAAGATAAAGATGAGTGAGGGTGTTGTTTACTTTCAGTGCTTCTGCCAGTGCTCCACCTCCTCTGTCGGATATTTGGTTGCTTTCAAGATCAAGTTTTGTGAGGGTGTTGTTTACTTTCAGTGCTTCTGCTAGTGCTTCACCTGCTCTATCGGATATTTGGTTGTATCCAAGATCAAGTTTAGTGAGAGTGTTGTTTAGTTTCAGTGCTTCTGCTAGTGCTTCACCTCCTCTATCGGATATTTGGTTGTATCCAAGGTAAAGATGAGTGAGGGTGTTGTTTACCTTCAGTGCTGTTGCTAGTACTTCACCTCCTCTCTCGGATATTTTGTTGCTTCCAAGATCAAGTTTAGTGAGAGTGTTGTTTACTTTCAGTGCTTCTCCTAGTGCTTCACCTCCTCTCTCGGATATTTGGTTCCGGCTAAGATTAAGTTGAGTGACTTTCAACTCGTTTGCAACGAGGACAGTGATTTGGTCAGAAACGTTCTGAGCTGTGGGGCGGTCGAAATCGCTGAATGTCATACGCAGTGTGAATGACGATAGCTGGGTCATACAGGACAACTGTGGCACCAGCACTTTCATCACTTGTTCTGAGTTGATGGCGAGCAGCGACAAGGAGCGAAGATTCACCACTGTGTTCTTGGAAGAGTGGGTGAAAAACAAGTCAAAGTAATCGAAGGTCTGTTCAGACAGATACACTGAACGAACTTGTGCGGTTGATGGAAAATGTTCGCAGATAAAGTGACATCTGGATTTGCTGATGCGATGAAAGTTCAAATCAAAGTGTAGACCGCCGAGTAGTACATCGAAACGATCGTTTAGTGGAAGAAATGAGTGGAGAATATCATAGGCGTCGAAATACTCGAAGATTTCAAGAATAACTTCGTTCGAAAGCGATTGAAACTGTGTCACATCTAAACAAATGCGCATTGTCAAGAGTTCGTATCTTTGGTCTCTCGTATATGATGAGAGCCTGTGAAGCATAAACAAATAAGGGAGAATGGCAAGATGCATACTCACTCTCGAATGTGACTAGTAGTGTTGCATTCAGTGATTGTTCTTTCGAGTATTAGCCAGGGTTTTATTCTATGGATGGATGGATAGCCAGCCTTCAACATTTTACTATGCTCATGACCATGGAGGTCATCTCTCTCTCTACTATTCTCAATATATTGCAGTCATCATGTTTGTGCGTTGCCGTACAGTTCTGATTATTGTATGTCTAAAGGATTATATGAAAATATATGAACATTCATTAAAGAAAGAGAGATCTGTGATTTTATTTCTGATCAGACTAACGAGTGGGTAGTAGTGCATGTTGATGGATAATTTACTCGAGTGAGAAGTGGAGAAGGGTCGATAGAATGGTTTTACTGTGAAGTCAAATGAAAGTAAGTATGGAAGTGAATGTCGTTGGTCTACTTTCTTGTTTGAAATACCTCACAGTCTATCACAAAAAGCGAGGTATCAAAGTATTGTTTGTCGTTTTGTTGATATGCCTGAGTGAATTGATGCACTCTAAAAAATAAATGCGTCTTATAATAAGAGCCCAAAGGTGGTTTGACGGCTCGACGTACATATAGATCTCAAAATAAGACGGATGACGATAAAAATGAGCACTTATCTACGCGTCTAATCTTCAAGCGACTTATGGCGTCTTATTTTAAGATCGATAAATGTATCTGTCTTATTTTATCTGCCGGTAGGCTCATGAGACTATTGATCTTTAGCCAGAGGAACTGATGCAAGCCGATAATTATGTTAATGGAAAAGCATTTCCTCAATGCTTATTTGTCTTAATTATTTGGTTATCTCTGAATGTTTTCGCACAGGTTCTCACAGATTTAAATCGATTCATCGCGACTAAGTGCTTACTTCCCCTTTTGTGGCTCTAACAAGTTATGTAAAAGTCCATGTTTCTCTCAAAAGCACTTTGTAGGGCTTGCAGGACACGATTACATCAGAAACAGGCCTACGAAACTGTATGTACGAATTGAACCAAACTGTCTAAAAATTTCTGAGACAGCCGTTGGATAGAGTTAAAGGAGCGCACACTAATAAATAATGTATCGTGTTTCTAGACAGTTATAAATATTAGTGATATGACCAAAAAGATTTGGCTGTGGGTTCTGACAGTCTTTTAGTACAAAATTAGCTGATGCGTGCTTCCATTTTCCCTGACTGTCGAAGTCTTAGACCGATAAATTTCTACTAGCTGATTTCCAACTAATTCGAAAGATTCTCGGTCGCTCGGCATTTTCAGCATCGATTTAAATAAATTCAGAATTCCACAAAAATTGAAACATTTTCTGCTAAAAAAAGTATGAAAAAAGGTAATTTTGACAAAAGATGAGCATTATGGAATGTCATAAACCTACATGATAAATAGTCACTAGTTATATAACTATTCATGCACCTTTAGTAATTCGCTTAAAAGTTTCATTGTTTAATTTGACGTTTCGTGCAAACATAGAGTAAGCCTTTCTCTACAAAATGAGACATTCTGCAAGTCTAAATGATCTAATAACTGCGTCGCAGAAATTTGCCTCGATGCTCCAAAAAAAAAAGACACTTTAACTTTGAAATACATAGAGTACATGTATGATAAGTTCGCTTTATTTAGGTACAAATATATCTGATCATATCCAATTATTCTATGAACTGAATGATCAAATACATTAGAGTTCAACAATGTATTGGTCACGTTAAATGAAGCAGATCGTGTTTCAGTGGGGAAAATTTTAACCACAACGAAATGTGCTTTGAATAAGGTAATTAGATAAAAAGACCATTTTCTTCTTTGCTCTTCATTTTTTGATTCTTGTAGTTTTATCCAGACGATGAAAACGATTTACATTTTAGATTTAGTAAATTTATCGCATTCTATCGACAAGTAAGATATATCTGTTTTTCAACAATATGCCAGGTTTTGTTTTCGTTTAGCTTGATGAAACCAAAAAGCGATCTTTAATATTCATTATTCCTGAATTTGAATCGATCAGTCTAACCATATTTGAAAATTTTGTTACATTACTTGGGTAAATGAGTACAATC